TTTGGAGGCAAGGCAGCGAATGCAGCAGTCAACTAGGGTAAGAAGCTCAATTTTGAGAGTTCATGTATTCTGCTTCCAAACAAATATTTAACTCTTTATGGACCTGATTTTCATGTCAATTATTATTGCTTAAAACAGTAAAATGGTATGAAAGGTGATTGATGGCAGTGGTGTATATGTATCTTTTACTGGAGGTGACTATAGTTACTGTTTAAGTAGAACTTCCTACTTAAGATCTGCCTCTTCTTAGGGTTCACTTTAGATCTTCAACTGCTTTCTGATACAACTATCAAGCTTTTGCTTACTATTTTTGCTTTCTTGCCTTCTCTTACAAAATTTTACATTATTCTTCATTTGTATTGTGTATTGTGATAAAAGACCAAAGGAACTGTGGGTGAGATCAGTGAAACTCTCAAAATCTCAGGTGAGGGTGTTGAAAGCCTGAACAGAACAGCTAGTGTTAGTTTCATTCCTAGAAGATCATGGGTGGATCCTTCTATTAAGGTCATTTTAGTGTGTTTTGTAGAAAATTTATATGGTGCAACTGAATCCATGTATAGCTTATTTATCAGCAACATACTATTATTATTATTATTATTATTATTTTTTTTTTTTTGGAAAATCAGCAACATACTATTAAATTGTGGACTTACAGGGAGAGTTGAATGAGCCTGTTGCTGAATATGGATCTACAGTATCAAAGCATCCTGACATGGGTGTGGGAAGAATGAGTGGACAGGTCAAGGAACAAGTACTTGATAAACGTTGGCATGATTTTTCCAGCAAAAGCAGTGGCTATGATCTCAAACATGAATTTCAAAACTACCCCTCCCACAAATCTGCAAGTCATGATGCATTAAATAAGAGCTGGAAGAATTCTGAGGAAGAAGAGTATATGTGGGATGATATCACTTCAAGAGTACCCCATGCAACTAAAAGCTTGGTGAAAGATCATTGGACACTAGATGATTCTGGAAGAATGGTAAGTTTGTCAATAGGAAATCTGTGGAACTTTTGCTCTGATGCTCTGTATTTGGTTGGTGCAGCTATTTGCTCTCTGATATGTCATATGTCAACTAGGCCCCATCTTCTCTTCCCTTGCTGCTCAGATTCTCTATCCCCCCCCACCCCCTATCTCTTAAAAATTTTGGGCTAGTCATTGACAATTGCTTAATTGTATCCTCATGTTCACTTGCAGGATTTGGAATGTCAGCTTCAGAGATCACAAATCATGAAGGAAATTGGATTAAACTTTGATAGTGATACTTCGACTGATTCTCTTTCCACAGAAAACAAAAGGCAAGCATCTTTTGGACATCAAGTATCATCATCGTGGTCAAGAGAACCACATTCTTTTGATGGAGGAAGACATCCAGACTCTGCTAGAAATATTTCAAATCATTCTGAAGGCTATCACAACTCCTTCAGTGGGTTATCAACTGCTGCAAATTCCATTGGCAGGACATCTTTCCAGCCACGAACTGGGACAGTTCCTATAGGATCATCAAACAACGGGCTCTCCTTGAATGCAGCTCCAGAATATGCAGGCCTTATAGCAAAACAAAGAGAGCCTCGTCGAACTGCATCTCCCTCTTCACACTCAACAATGCACCAGCGTTCACCATCACCATCAATCTCAACACACAGTTCTAGTCAAATAACTCGCAAAGTAGGTGATCGAGACCAAACACATACTATATCCCAGGTGGATCCAAGAACATCTCAGATTCCAAGGTCTACTTTGGATCCTCGCCAGAAGTTTTATCAGGAATATCTGCCAACACTCTCTCGGAATGCCCATTTGGATATTTCTCAAAGACGAGTTCTTCAAGGGAGGAATAATGTTTCATTACCTGAGCCTCTAGCATCAGAACCCCAGGAATTTGAATCTATCCATCAAGCCGAGAAACCAGTTGTGTCTGTAATTCCAGGTTATACTAAGCCCTCGGTTACACAGAGTTCGTTGTCAAATGCTTCCAAGCATTCAGGTGCTGAATCCCCTGGGCAAGCAAGTACTAGCAGTTTGTTGGCTGCTGTCATGAGAAGTGGTATATTGAGTTCTGATACTTTGGTTGGCAGCTTACCTGGATTGAATTCTCAAGATAGTGTTAGTCCTCCCTTACCAAGTTGTTCTTCTCCTACCCAACCTGTAGATATTCCACCAAATGTGCCATCTTCAAATGTGACAAATTCTGCTTCTAATCCAGTGTCGAGTCTTCTAAGCACCTTGGTAGCAAAGGGATTGATAACTGCATCAAAGACACAGTCCCCAACTGCTGTTGAGTCTAAAATAGCTCCTCAAATTCCAATTCGAAGCCCTCCAACTGTAAGCAAAAATTCAAGTGTGGTTTCTTCAGTGCCAGCCTCAGTAAGCCCTTCTTCATCTAAAGCTGAAGAGCTTTCTAAACCTGCTACTAAAACTTCTGACATTCCTGCCAAATCTGCTACAAGAGAGATAAAAAATCTCATTGGTCTTGTGTTTAAGCCAGATGTTATACGGCAGCCACATCCGATTGTTATAAGTGAACTTTTGGATGATATTCCACATCAGTGCAGCATGTGTGGTCTTAGACTAAAGCTCAAGGAACAACTCGATAGGCATTTAGATTGGCATGCATCTAGAAATCCAGATATGAAGCTGTTGAATAAGGCTCCAAGGAAGTGGTATTCAAGTTCAGCAGAATGGGTTGCAGGAAATGGCAGCTTCAATAAAGGGTCTTGCAAAATAATGGAAAGCAGTGAACCAATGGTTCCGGCAGATGAAAGACAGTGTATATGTATCTTGTGCGGCGAGGTTTTTGAAGATATTTTCAGTGAAGACAGCAATAGATGGATGTTCAAAGGAGCTGTTTACATGAGTTCTCAATCTTTGGGTGACAATTGTGGAAGTGCAAACAAAGAAGGAATTGCTCTGGGTCCTATAGTCCACAAAAACTGTATATCTGAAACTTCTCTTCATGATTTGGGCCTTGTTCAGGATGTTAAACAGGTGAGTTGTTTGCTTTATGGACTTGCAAAATTAACAATGTTTTATGGAAATCACGGTCTCTTCTTAACAATTATCTAATTATTTCTCTCGGAAAGCATCTGTACGTTAAACCAATTCTGTTTATTGTTCTCTTTCAGGAAAAGGACACATGATATGATGCTCCCTCCAATGTAGAATTCAGGAAACCAGAAATTTCAGGTTTTGTTTAAATATATTCAGGTTCTATCCATTTTTATTTGTTGGATATATAACGCAAGTTAGGCTTGTCCTAGGTTTTGTTGTAAATGCAAGCAAGCAGGAAAAAAAAAACAAAAAACAACTATATGCCATTGTGATTTGTGAGCCATCTTTGCTAATTTGGCTGAGGTTTCTGTTACATGTTTCTCTCATCTCTCTTGTCAAAGCTAAATTATACCTCCATTTCAGCAAGTGCTGTTAGTGGCCGAACGAAAAACGCAAGCCGCAATACCCAACTCAAGGAATATAATGGATAATGAGCTTGCAAGCACCTTACCCTTCTCAGAGAACCAACTTTCTACCATTGCCATTTCTGCAATGTGGTTAAAGTTTGTCACTTTCTGCCAAAGACAAAAGTTTTCATTTCATTTCATTAGCTTCTGATGTTAAGTTTAACCGTTTTGATCTGTGGATGGCACATGCAAGAGATGCCATGAATGTTGTATTTGAGAAGAGATAACAACTTCTTTGCTTCAGCCAACAGATCAACTAAAAAAATTTGCTGTCTTTAAACTCTTCCAGTTGGAATGGCTTCTTTCTTTCTTTCTTTCTTTCTTTCTTTCTTTCTTTCTTTCTTTAATACCTTAGTGGCAATGAAACTTTAAAAAATGAGTGCACGCAGCTTCCATACCATTTGTGGATTCAATAATGCATCCAGCAGTTTTGAATAATGGCCTTGTTTACCCTTAGTTCGACGGCGTTGGAATTAGTTTGGCGGAGGAAAAATAATTTAGGAATTAGCAATTAGCAATGTGATTTTTTTTTAAAGAGTTATTCGCTCAAAACGACATCGTTTTGAGTAAATAATCTCTTTAAAAAATGGCGCATAATGTATAAGCAGACGGCTAGGTGGCCTAGGTGTCCGGTTGCGTAAAAGCTAATTTCTGCATTGTTTGAGGCGGTCGGGCGCCGCCTAGGCGCGATTTTTACAATATTGCTTGAAAAACGTTTTAATTAAACATTTAAATGTATTTTTTTAACTCAACAATTTAGGACAGTTGATAAGTGTAATGTAATTGTAAGGAGGGTGCATGATCATGCTTCTCTTGAGTAAAAGTTAATATTTTGCTAGTACGTTTCTTGCTGAATTTGTATTAATCTAACAATATTGTATGTAATAAAATTCATTTTCTTCTTAAATATTTTAAAGTACGATCAAAACAAATTCTGATTTTTTTTTTTTTTTGGGGGGAGGGCGGGGGGGGGGGGGGGTGGGGTTGTGAGTTAGGGGAGTGGGAAGTGCAATGGTGCCTAACCAGACCGTAGTTAGGATTAAGATATTGTTATGTTGGAGTGGGATGAGATGACAATAATGGAATGTTGTCTTATTAACATCATTTCAGCAAAGAATGGGGCTAAGATAAAGCAGCCAAATCGCCATTATTTGTTGGAATCCACACAAGTCAACTGTGGGTCTGTCCATCCTCCAAAAGGGAATTTGACATTGACCCCTATTTTACTCCTTTGGATTCCTCCCCCTCTCCACCCATTTTTTTTTTTAATTTTTATAAAGAAAAATTCATTATACCTTGGTTAGTTGTTGGAGTATGATTCTCGTATTAAAAGACGGGTTTAATTTTTATCAATTCTTTCGCGATAAAATCCGTCAGCATAGAATGAAGGTACACCTTTAAATAGTGATTACCGAATTTCCTCATCACGAAAAAATATATATATATATATAGTAAAATTTACCTTCTATTATAAAGAGCTTCATATATTTCTAATATGATTACACTTTTATACATATATATATATTTGGACATATATTTTGAACATAAAATTTTTACTCTTTTATCACAAAATCATAACCTTCTGATCTTACAATTCACAAGTAGTTCAAGAACTTTAGATCTTACTATACTTTTGATATTGTTATAATCGATTTTTATGTATATATATATAAAGTCCTAAATAATTCAGGGTTTAGGCTTGTTCTTCTGGGTGTAGATATAGTCCAAGTGAGCTTCTGCAACCATCCTTCTATTGAAACAAGCTTCATCGTTTTCCTTGCATTCTTCCAAACCCATCAGCTGCAACCAATCAATCAATATATATATATTAGATCCATATAATAATAATAATAATAATAATAATAATAATAATAATAATAATAATAATAATAATAATTTATTAAAATATTCTTACAGTGGCCATGTCTTCTTCTTCTTCTTGTGGGTTCAAGGTTGGAGTTGCATGACCCATCTCACCTGCTACCTCTGTTATCTTCTCATCTGCATATATACACACAGACACATATACAGTGTATATATGTGTGAGTATTATTATTAGTACAACATATACGTATATGATTATATTTGGTACAAAACATGTTAGTACTGATACTAATTGATATTATTAATTAATTTAAATAGCATATATGATTGTATTTGATACGATGTCGATTGACACAGGAATCAAGAAAGGGGAAAGAGGGATGAATATAATCGATGAGTTAATTACCTTGAGATTGAGGCAGGCGACGAGCAGATGTTGAGTGCTGAGATGAAATGAGCAGAATTGCTAATAGAGAACACAGGAAAATAAGAGAAATTTTCTTCATTTCTTTCTTCTTTCTTTTCTCTTCTTTTCTTAGCTTGGAGAGAGAGAGATGGAGAGAGAGGGGTATATGAAGGTTTACTGATCTGAGCAAGGAAAGGAGTAGTTGGAGTTGTATATATAGCCTGAATTTGTAGAAAATGTACATATATAGTGACATGTGCACTTACAAAATTATATCAAAACAACGCACTATTCTATATTTCAATTTCAATTTTAGTCATATGACTATAGGGGTCTTGTTAATTTCAGTCATTGACTTTTAAAAGTGTTAATTTAATACCTTAACTATGCAATTTTGTCAATTTTGGTCACCCTCCGCTGGAAAATTTTATTTGTTAAAATAATGAGAGTATTTTGATCATTTCACGTCTCTTTTCTTCTTCCCAGGCGAGTCCATCCCTTCCTCTCCCATTTCCGGTGAATGCAATGAACTAAGATGATGGGGAAAGGAGGCTTGATGATATTAAAGATAGGGTTTAGAGGGAGAAAGAACACCGGAAACGGGAGAGAAAGAGATGGACTAGCCGAAGAAGAAGAAAAGAGGCGTGAAATGACCAAAATACCCTCATTATTTTAACTATTAAAATTTTTCGGTGAAATTTGACAGACAATTTTGCCGGAGTGACTAAAATTGACAAAAAAATGCATAGTTAAGGTACTAAATTGACACTTTTGAAAGTCAGGGACTGAAATTAACAAGACCTCTATAGTCATATGACCAAAATTGTAATTTCCTCTTTCTACAAACAACGAAATATATATACTCCGTGCATACTTTCAGGTAGTGATATTCATCACCAAAAAATAAAATAAAATATATAAATTATTTCTATTATCGTTTATCTCCTTTATTGCAATTTCCGCTCTTATCCTAGAGACTAGTAGAGAATAAGGTAAATTGTAGAATACGGCTCAACTGATCTACAAATCCTAGATACTAATACATTAATATCATAATAAAGTCAAATCTATACTTAAAAAAAAAAAAAAAAAAAAATTCTTGGTAGGATTATTTGAACCTCTGTTGTCATTGATGATAATGGTCCTGTGAAGATGCAGGCCTGCATATGAAGATACGTTGTCCTTATCTGTGTGGTCCACGTTCACGAGTACATCCATGCATGCATACACGAGATTAGGTTTATTTTTCAATCAAAAGAAAACAAAACAAAAAACGTTGTTTCAAGGTTGTCCTCTCAATAAATAACACCACAATTTTAAGTCAAATTTCGAATTGAAGTTTGATTATATTCTACAAAATTTAGTATTGCTTAGATACGTAACGTTAGTTACTTGGAACTTCGTTCTATCTTGATCTTGATTGCTACCCAACAAGTCATCAACCATAGTCCACATAGAGAATTTCTATAAATTATCAATTTGTTCGATCAAAATGGTTAAGTAATACATATTAAACGATATGATCATAACCCTTTTAATTTACAAAACAAATATTTTAATATATTTTGTTACTCGGTCTTAAAAACAGTACGTTAAAACCATTCCTTTATCTGTTTAGTGATAATTACTTATTTTTATTTTGTATCAAGTTCTTTAACACTTTTCATACTTCTAATAAATTTGGTCCGCATATTTTATTTCGAAATAATTTTTTTTTTTTTAAATTGCTGTAAAATAATTTTTTTTTAAGAGTCAACTAGTCAGAGGTTTAGACCTGCATGCTGCTATATATGGCAGACAGCTGTTTTCAACACTATGGGTCCAATGAATTGAAAACCATATATTTTCTACAATAATATATAATTATTTCTTCCAAGCTGCATCCTTAATTGTAATTTGCTCCTTTGTTTTAGTGTTTAAGTCTTCAAAGAAACTTTTAGATCAGAGTTGCCATCTTATTAAAACTCTATCATGTATGTTAGTTCTATTGGTTATAAATCACTGTCCAAAACCTTTTTTATTTGTACAAAAACTTATCAATTAAGTTTTATGAGTCGTTATCTAATGGCCAAATAAGAATAATATATTTGGGCAGGTCAATTGGTCATAGAGATGAAAGTTGGAAAGAATGACCTGAGTCTCACCAGCGGCAGTGAGGGGGTTCCTTGTGCGCTTGAGTTACCAATTACCATGATTTACATCCTCCCAGATATTCTGTCGGGCCGGTTGCGGTGAGGGGGCTCCATGCGCGCAGTGAGCAAAGGTTTAGCCTCTGTGCTTCATGTTCAGTTGAGTTAACATGGTTTACACCCCTCCCAGATGCTCTGTCGGGCCGGGGTTGGAGTTCAACCTTTTGGAAGAAGAATAATATATTATGGCCCCGTTTGGTAAAATATTTAGTTTATTAGCCAATTTTAATTTGGCTTATTTAACCACTATTAATTGTTTGACTTAGTTAAAAAATTAATATAATAAGTGTTTGATTAATTAGTTTTTTGTAATTTCAAAATGCTAAAATTCAAAAAACTACTAAAAACAACTTTTTCAATTAGCTTTTTAAGAAAAAATTATACCAAACAATTATCAACTAACAGCTAATTTACCAAACATCTTTCTACAATCAGTTAATATTATCAACTAGCTAGTTATACTCTCTAACAACTATCAGTTAATATTATCAACTAGCTAGTTATACCCTCTAACAACTATCAGTTAACAATCATTTACCAAACAGGGCCTAAGTGTATGTTTACATTTCGTTAAAATGCTTTACTTAGTGACATATTATTTCTATCATTTTATTTACTAAAAGTCATTGCATTTAATTATCTGCATCACTATATATAAGAAATTGTAACCAAATATCTTGTGGTTTGATGACATCATTGTTGCGCGCTTTCCATAAGGATAATCTAATTAATGGATACCCGCATGGGCAGTTCAGTTGGTCACATGGGTGAAATTTGGAAACAATGATCCGAGATCGAGTCTCACCAGCCACAGTGTGGGAGCAACCTCTCGAAGTGAGGGGGCTCCTTGTGCGCAGTAAGCAAAAGTCTAGCCTCTGTGTTCTATTGAATTATCATGAGATTGGGAATTCAACCTTTTAGGAACAATAATGTACCTAATTAAAGAATAGTTTATTTTGGAATGTGAATATAATGCCATAAATTCTTGAGTGCATACTTTTTCTTTCTTTATTCTCTATTGTTGAATTATTCATGAAGCTAAGGTAGTCAATTTTAATAACACTAGCTAGATAGATGGAATTGTTTCATTCTCAAAATAGCATCATGCATGTGAATAGGGAAATACACTAGTGCCCAATATGCCTAGCTACAATAATAATGGAGTGGACCATATAGTGGTTGACCTCATGCGAAGTAGATATATATTGTGAAACTCTTGTGACATTCAATTCTCTAAGGTGGGAAAACAACAAACTTGTGCAAAAGATAAGTTCACACCTAGTCTATTTTTGTAGGTAATTTTATACAATATTATAATAAATTTGTTTGGGTTGATCTGATCTCATTCTTTAATATGGGATTTTTAATTTTATTCTTTATTTGATTGCGTGGTTTGTTGAGACTTGTTATCAGATTTTAATAATTTGATAAATTTTGTTGTCGATTGATACCATAATTTCTATTGTTTTACTTCACTACTGAAAATTATTGAATTTTCGATCACTTGAAAGTAATCTTAAATCAAGTTCAAAGTAAAAAGTGGTCAGAAATAACAACAAAGATTTTTTCGGATACCAAAATGGTCGAAATAAGGGTTTCGACATGATTTAAGATCACTTTCAGGTGGTCGGAAATTCCATAATTTCCAGTAGTGAATTTGCTGATAATATAATGTTAAGGTTTTTACTTCTTTTAACGATTTGCATTGTCCCTATGGCTAAGAGTACTATGTTATTAGATAATATAATGTTAAGGTTTTTACTTCTTTTAACGATTTGCATTGTCCCTATGGCTAAGAGTACTATGTTATTAGATTTGAGACAGATTCATTTTGTTTCTGGTTGTAAGACATTTAATTTTATCAATAATATTAATGGTAGGGGCTGGTTTAACTTTGCATTAGGTCGGCCACCTTGGTGTGTGTGTTTTTTTTTTTTTTTGAAAAAGAATATAATATAGTTAAAAAATAATTACTCGCTCTTTTATTATTATGTTACAAATAATAATTAATTACCATACATACTATTTCAAGGGCTACCTCAAGGTTGTTGAATTAATTTGCTTGAAGGTTTTAGGCTTGCCTTGGACCGTTATTGAAAAAGTAAGCTAATGCATATCTATAGAGAATAGAATAGAGTGGTAAATTTTCTTGTCAGAATGTCTCTCTAATATGAATATGATTTACACGTGTAACTGTACTCCTCGTCTTTAGACTAAAACTATGTGGTCTAATGGTACTCGGGTTGAACTTTCATTTGGAAGATTGTAATTTTGAGCCTGAACAGATATTACAATGTAATAGAACCAGTACCATTCAAAAAAAAAAAAGTACTCCTCTATCTTTAGAAGATAAAATTAGTGTTCTAAAAATTGAGAAGAGTGGTTGTTCGGTGTAGCTAGTTTTTTTTTTTTTGTTTTTTTTTTTTAAATGGTTTTCGAAACTATTAAATAACATGGGAACTATATTGAAATATAATGCAACAAATAAATTTTGCAATATAATAAATAAATAAATAAATAAAAATGGTCGGCTTGACTAAAGTTTTAAAAAGTGATAAAATGAAAGAGATGGAATCTGCAAATTGCATGCAGAATTAAATTTTCAAACCATACACTTTTTGGACAATTTTTTTTTTTTTATATTAATCAAATACTTAAAATATTTTAATAACAGATAGTTTACACATGATGAGAATCAATGACAACTTTTTGTCAACTATTAATAATATATGATCATATCGTCTTCAAAAAAATAATAATTAATAATATATCATATTATTAGCATATATTGTAAATCAAATGCTTATCACTATATCAAAAAGTATAATTAATAGTATAGTGAAAGAGTAGCTTTATTTCCTTATAATAGCTGCGTAGCAGTGAACGCTAAATTTTGCTAGATTCTGCCCTTAAAGTCTCCGTCCAAAGCAACAATCCCCTCCTAACACCCGTCAACCTCGCCTTCCAAGCCATCATCCAACAATAAGTGGTTAAATGGATAAAACATGATACTTGTAC